TATTGACTATGCAAAGGCATTCGACTGTGTGGATCATAACAAATTATGGATAACATTGCAAAGAATGGGAATTCCAGAACACTTAATTGTGCTCTTGAGTAACCTGTACATAGATCAAGAGGCAGTCGTTTGGACAGACCAAGGGGATACTGAGTGGTTTAAAGTCAGGAAAGGTGTGCGTCAGGGTTGTATCCTTTCACCAGACCTATTCAATCTGTATGCTGAGCAAACAATCCGAGAAGCTGGACTATATGAAGAAGAACGGGACATCAGAATTGGAGAAGACTCATTAACAACCTGCCATATGCAGATGACTCAACCTTTCTTGCTGAAAGTGAACAGGACTTGAAGCACGTACTGATGAAGATCAAAGCCCACAGCCTTCAGTGTGGATGACACCTCAACATCAGGAAAACAAAAATCCTCACGACTGGACCAACAAGCAACATCATGATACACGGAGAAAAGATTAAAGCTGTCAGGGTTTCATTTTACCTGGATCCACAATCAGCACCCATGGAAGCAGCAGTCAAGAAATCAAAAGATGCACTGCACCGGGCATATCTGCTGCAAAAGACCTCTTAAAAGTGTTGAAAAGCAAAGATGTCACCTTGAAGACTAAGATGCGCCTGATCCAAGCCATAGTGTTTTCAATTGCCTCATATGCATGTGAAAGCTGGATAATAAATAAGGAAGACAGAAGAGTTGACGCCTCTGAATTGCAGTGCGGGCCAAGAATATTGAATATACTTTGGACTGCCAAAAGAATGAACAAATCTGTCTTGGAAGAAATACAACCAGAATGTTCCTTAGAAGCAAGGATAGTGGGACTACGTCTCACTCACTCTGGACATGTTATCAGGAGGGATCAGTCCCTGGAGAAGGACAGCACGCTTGGAAAAGTAGAGGGCCAGGAAAAAAGAGGAAGTTCCTCAACAAGATGGACTGACACAGTGGTTGCAACAACGAGCTCAAGCAAACGACTGTGAGGATGGCGCAGGCATCTAACAAGGATAACAGAAACAAACAAATAATTAAAATACTCCCAGACATAGCCTGCTGCTGTTGTTAGGTGCTGTCGAGTCGGAACCGACTCATAGCGACCCTGTGTACAACAGAAGGAAACACTGCCTGGTCCTGAGCCATCCTCACAATCGTTGTTTGCTTGAGCCTGTTGTTGCAGCTACTGTGTCAGTCCACCTTGTTGAGGGTCTTCCTCTTTTTGTTCTCTACTCTAGCGTTGTGTTCTTCTGGAAGGGCTCACAGTCAACTGTCAATAGTGGTTATGTAGTTATCTTGTGCTCTATAGTGTGGTCTGGATTTTGTAACCAGATACACATGTTCTGCGCATTACTTATGCCAACAGCAGGCCGCTCTAAGGCCAGCAGTCTGGGAGTCCTTTCTTGCCGGAGGGGAAGTAGAGAAGGAAAAGCAGGACAGGTACTGAGGAGGACCCTGAGTGAAAGGGAACTCCAGCAGGGGAGAGACAGGATGGAACTTCTCTAAGAGAAAGCTGAGCATGGGGGTGAACAGGGGTTTTTGCTCTGAAGCGGAGAAAACTGGAGACAGATGGAGCCGTGAGGAGACTACAACAGACCTGGGGAGAGGTAGTGGGGGCTGACCAAGCCGCTGCCACTGTGTAGGGAGAGGACAGATGCTACAGGCGTCAACAGGCAGAGGCCAGGGGATGGTCACTGATCAGCCACGGTACACGAAGAAGAGGGAGCATTACCTGGCTAGAGGGTGGAGGCACAGAGGTGAACAGGTGGGGTGGGACGCAGAGACCCTGACTTTGCGATTTAGTCAAGCAGAGACGGAGATGTCTGCGGCGATTCTATGTGGGAGGCTGAGTGGGCAGCTGCACAACAGGGCTGAAGCTCAGCGGAGAGGAACTGGCTGGAAACAGTGGGGGTCCTTGGCATACTGGCTGTAGCCGAAAGCAGGGATGAGGATGAGGCTACCCAGACAGTGTGAGTAGATTGCAACTGCTCATGGTAACAAAGCAAGATGTGGGGACAGTCCCAGGGAAAGAGGCTGACAAGGGAGCTAAAGTGAAGTGATGAGAGGTGGGAGCAAACCCAGGAGAGCGGGACCCCAGAAACCAGGAGGAGGGAGAACAACTGGAAAGAGGGAGGGTATAAACCAATTCAAAAGACAAGTGACAGAGCAGGGGAAACGTATTTAACCTAAGTGACACAGTGATCATTTTTTTAATATGCAAGGGGCTCTTATAAATTAACCAAAGCACTCAACCTCATCCATAATCAAGTGAATGCAAATTACAACAATGAGAGAGTGCTTTTTAGCTAACAGGTTGGCAAGGATTAAAGCCGTCTGATGATACCGGACGCCGGAAGACAGAGCCTCTCCTCAGCTTCGGGAAGGAGTGTAGATGGCTGCCACCTCTGTAAAGCAGTGAGTCCACTAACATCAGAGAGCCCGTGCTCTGTGACCTCGTCGCCCCACTTCTAGGGATTTACCCTACAGACGCGCTCCCGTATGTACACAGAGACACGAAGATGTCTCCTGCAGCGCCGTCTATGAGAGCACAGCACTCCACTAACCGGGGTGTCCGGCAGTGGGGAACTGTTCGCAGTACGCGGACGATGGAATGGCCCCGCAGTGAACCACCACCGCACAGCCATCAGCAGGCCGCTGTGTGCTAATGGGAAAAGGCCTCCATGGTAATGGATGCTGTGGAAAATGAAGGGTGCAGAGGAAATGTGGAAAACAATTTGTTTTTAAAGGATATATGTGTTCACACAGGTGTCCAAAATATCTGGAAGGATGCATCAGAAACTGTCAGTCCCGGTTACCTCCGGAGAGTGGGCTGGGGGTGGTTAGTCCTGGTTACCTCTGGAGAGTGGGCTGGATGGGACTAGTCCTGGTTACCTCCGGAGAGTGGGCTGGGTGGGACTAGTCCTGGTTACCTCCGGAGAGTGGGCTGGATGGGACTAGTCCTGGTTACCTCCGGAGAGTGGGCTGGATGGGACTAGTCCTGGTTACCTCCGGAGAGTGGGCTGGGTGGGATTAGTCCTGGTTACCTCCGGAGAGTGGGCTGGGTGGGACTAGTCCCGGTTACCTCTGGTGAGTGGGCTAGGTGGGATTAGTCCCGGTTACCTCCGGAGAGTGGGCTGGGTGGGGTTAGTCCTGGTTACCTC